GACAGCAAAACCCAAACTATTGCACATATTAAAATATATTAAACATATTAAAAAATTACAAACGATATGCTAAAAACTAAAAGCTAGACCCTCACATTACACATAAACTATGTTTGCTCTTGTGTTTTAGTTTGATGATAATTGTACCAGCAATTAAAAACACACAATTTATGGGTTAAATGTGAATCAGTCTTAAGTATGCTACCTACTCTAAAAAATTTAAATCAGCCAGAGACAAAACTGTTTTTCTGTCTATATGTATGCATGTACGTTTGGTTCACACCAAGCAAACATATAGAAAGATTTATACATAAATTCTCTCACCTATGTACGCTGTGAACTGGCTTTGTACTCAGCTAATCTTGGACTGCCTTTCATTGATTAGCCAGACTATGACAAGAAGTTGTGATCTTCAGCTTTATCTTCTGGGTGTTTACGTCCACATGAAAAGAACAGTATCAGAAATTTAAGGTACGATCATAAACCTTCTAATCTCACCCCATACAACTCAAATGCTACAATACCTGATTTAAATTTGACATTTTTCCACCTTTAAGGTCATTTCCTTAGTTCCAGTACTGGTTTTAGATCACTCCTTTGGGAGAATTGGGGAGTGATGGGAGTGTCATCTGTAACTGCTGTTATGGTCGTAAATCTAACTTTGCTTGCATCTGAACTGCGTGAACACAGAGGTCATCCCACATATGGTCCACCCGTTAAAGGGGGACAGAGGGCCTCAGGACCAAGAAGAACTGGACCTTGCAATGCTGGAGTGCATGTTGTAAGTGATCTCTTTGAAGAAAAGAGATCAAAGGGGGAATTGTGATATTATTCTGTTAATATATGTTACCTTATATATGTAATCAAAGTAGTTGAATTAGAATACTGCTGTAGATCATATTATACCCTTTAATATAGAGTGTGTGAGCTGTATGTAGTTTAGTTCTCGTTATACTTTTGAGTTAACAGAACATATTCACATATAAGTTTATTAGATAAGTGTGCATCACTCTGTATCCTTGATCTGCTGTGAATGTATTACATGCTTAATTGTTGAATCATGAAGAGAAGATTGTAAGCAGGAGACTCTGTGTCTAAGACAGGGGAGATAGACAGACCACATCCATACCCCCACCTTACAGAAAAGCAGAGAGACAACTGCCGAGGTCATAACTTAGGCGCTGTAACAGAGAAAGAATGTGATGTTTTGGCTTTTACGACTAGATGGGGGCCACTAGAGACTATAAAAAGCTGAGCAACCCGTCACCATTTGGAGACATGCTGTTGACCCTCTTCAAGCATCTCTCCCCATCATGATGGTTTTCATGCTCTTTGTGTTGAATTGTATGGAAATAAATGATTGTTGATTGAGCATTTATACACCGAGTATTGTCCTTCCTTCAGCCCAAAGATTCAAAGAATTGGGAGATTTCAACACTCTCCTATCTGACCACTTGCAATGTATCCTGCTGTGAGTTCACAATGTGCCAACATCAAATCAATGTCATTAATCAAACACACAGTGTTGACGTCTTAGGTATGCTCAGAACTATGCTCACCATTTTTTAACATTGATTGGGTTTTGTACTTTGTCCACTGGGGTTAGACGGCATTGAGTTTTAACAAGTTCCGCAGTGCTGCCAAAACGATGATCTATAAGCTCAGCCAAATTTAAATAGGGGATGGTTTGAGAATGGCAAGGTTGTGCTAAGGAGTTGTGGGATCGTATGTTTGAATGTATAATTTTTAATCTGTGTCACCCTTTTTGTCAGGCTTTTAATCCATTAGACATAGCGGCTTGATAGGTTTTATCCTAAAATTTACCCGAAAAGAAGCCACACTATCAACTCAAGTCCCAGTAGTTACCAGATGGTCACTGCCCCAGGTCCCAGTCACACAGTCACACGTTTCTAGGCCGTGTGAGTGGGACCTGAGACTACCATGACCCAAGACCTACTGGAGCAGTTTCTTGTGATCTTCGGACTGTATATTCTTGGGGATAAAATCCTCAGTTGTGCTTGGGACAAATAATAAGTCAAGAACATAAAATTATTTGATGAAAAGCTTTTTGTTGTTGTTGTGTGGGTTTAGAACTACTGTCCTGCTGCATTTTCCTGCATCTGCTAAAGGGGATTTATACACTGTTCTTCTGAAATGGAAAAATGGATGTAAACACCCTCAAAGTACTTTTATAGTCACTGTTTCATTTCAAATCAAGTTCAGAGCCAAAACAGCAAAAACATATGACTATTCTAACACTCCATTGTATTCTGGTTGAAAATCAGCATCATAGTCGTCAGTGATTGTGACACAGATGAGTGTGCTAGAGAAGTCCATTTATGACACTGTTGTTTGGAAAAAAAAACAATATAAATATGAGATCTGTTATAGATATATCTTATAGTTCCCTAATCCCTGATAGCCCAACGCTAAATGACAAAACAATAAAAACAATAATGGCTGTATTACATTAGTGTCAGTCTACTGCACATTAAGAACAGAGTAGCAGCAATGCCTCATGGATTTGCATGTTATATACAGAGAGCATAATACATTTTTCTGGTTAGGTATGATTTATGGTGTTTATTTACATATGATATGTAGCCTGGATTAACATATTTCAACTTCAACGAAAAAGATCAATGACTTCAAAATGAAAATGTAATATTCCAGTAATGTAGAAAAATAAATTATATTACTTGTATTGACATGAGGAGAATGATTAGTTTATATCTAGCACCTATTGCAACCACTTACTCTATACTATAATGAGCTTTAGCAGACATATGGTTATGACTATCCCTGGCACTCTTACTGCCACTTAACTTCTCTCACAGGAAATACATTATATGGGCAGAATAAGTGCTCGACGGTGTATTAAATTAAAGGGCATTTGATAGAAAAATAAGTGTAATAAAACATTTTAAATCATCCTTCTTTTTAACATATCAGGGATTGTTTTAAATTAACTGATCTTTGACAAGTATACATTATGCATATTTTACTCTTAGTTGTGTGTGCTTTTTTTTCTTGCTTTGCAAAAAGCTGTGATTGTTTATAGATCGCACTCCTCTGCACTTTTATAACCCTCAATGATAAATACAAGTCCAGCCACGTTTGTGTAATATAATTATTTTCATTTTCACCTCTGTTTTAATATATATATATATTTTTTTTAATCAAAAGGTCAATCTGAAATTTCAACAATATAAAGAAACTCATTTAGATGTATAGCTTCCTAATGCTAACATCTTTTATCACAGCTACCCAACTATTCAGAAAAACTGTGATTTTATTGAGTGCCTTGACCAACACATGTACCAATTTATCAGCTACTTCCTCATGAAGGAAAATACCTTCATGACAAAAATGGAATAATTCTGTCTCATAATCAGAAGCCTTCTCATCGATGTGAATCCCTATCCCACCACTTTTAATACATATCTACAAAAACAGTGATATATATAGTTATCAACTCTTCTTTTACATTTGCAGTTAGTATTGTAATAATAATGAACTAACCTGGCAATGAAAAAGTAAACGGCAGCTTTAAGTGACCAATAACAATATGAAATCTAAAGACAAATGCCTTATAATTGCACCATCAGTGAACGTTTCTGTGCTTTTGCCATTGGCAGTAACTTTTTATTCAGCAAGGACTTTGAAGGAATAACAATCATCTTCCAGGGGATATTAACTCATGCTTTTAAATTGTGTTGCTTTAATATAGCAGTTGACTGTCTACACTGCAATACATCCCGCAGACCCTGACAGAGCCAAGTAGTAGGTAAATGAATACATGAATAATGACTAATTTTGACTGAATAGAAGAGCAGCTTGTCTTTGTCAGTAACCCAAGAGCTTCATTAGTAATTGTAAACAAGAGTTACATCTATCAGCTCTATCAACAGACTCTATCATCAATAACTATTGATTAGCTTGTCAACAGTCAGTGTAGAAGGCATCTGTCTGTGTTCACTGGGTAAGCAAATACAGCAGTCCCCTTTCATCCTTTCCATATTTATTGTGCCATATTAAGCGTAGTTTAAATGACACTGTGCTTGATTGCTCTGTGTTTCAGTATGTGAATAAAAGTTTGACTGCTTTGTTCATTTTGGAATGTAATTATGCTGCAGTGAATATGATTTTCAGTACATGGGGAAAATGTGTATGTGTGTGCTATATTTTTATTGAACTTCACTGAACCTCTGGTACCTTCACTCTTCTGCTTCCCCTTCACACAGTAATGTGGGTATTGCTCTACATCTAACCAACATTGTGAAGATCTATGCAAAAGTTACTTGCTGATAAAACTGTGCTTACACCAGCTCGGAAGTCTCCAGAAGTTGTTTAAAAGTAATTAACCCAGCTTTTCATGCCATCCTGTCATGAGACATTTTTGCGTGCATTTATAGTGAGAGCACTGTTTGAACAGTATGAAGTGTTTTTGGGTCCCAATGTGGACTTATGTGTGACCTCTAGGCCACCCGGGTGCAAACAGACACAAAACACGCACACTCACATAAACACACACATCTAAGGAGCTTGGAAAGAAAACCTTTGACCTCTCATCCAAGAAGCTTCTTCAGTTTGACACTTCTCGCTTTTCTTTCAACCTCCTTAGATTACCATGACCTGGATGACTGAGAACCTTCACAGACATAAACACATACAATCACATACTAGACCAGTGCTTATCTGCTTTGACTAAAACCGTGGCTCTTGCGATGGTTTTTCAGTGAATGATGACCGATTACAGCATGTGCAGTCCAGCAGCCATCAATAGCCCCAAGTGTAGCCATCAGCAAGCCTTCTGGTGGTTGATCATTTCATGGACATTGTCTTTATCCACTTGTATTGGTCCTCTGGGATAAATTATTCAAAGTTCTGAAGGCATTCAGTAAGTTACAGCACACCTACAGTACATACAGTAGGCCTAATCTACATAAACACACATACAAAGCCTACTACCATACATACGTCAATAATAGAACAGTCTCTTTTTTCTTTATCATTCCTTCTAGCTTCTGTTTAGACTCTCAGCGCACTGGCATAAAAGTAAGGTTTCTTTCAGAAACTTGATTTAAATAAGTTTAGTGTTCTCTCCTCTTTGTTGCAAAATTTATGATCAAAAAACGCTTGAACTGATTCTTGGCCTCATGTGTTTGCTCCTTCAGCTGTGTTTCCTGCCTCAGAGACGATATTTTCTCAGCAGGTCAGCCTGCCACATGTACTTCCTCTCAGGGAACCTCTCTGGGATCTTAATCTTGCGGAAGTCTTGAATGCACTTTTCCAACTCCTCCTCAACTGTGAGCTTCTCTTTTGTGGGCCTTTTCTTGCAGCTGCTGGTATCACGGGAGCTGGCTGTAAGAGTGCGCAGCAAGTCACTCTTGCGTCGTTGTTCAGACTGCTGGACCATGGTGACAGGGCCCTTTTTCAGCGGCCTGTCCAGGGTTTGGACGTTGGCACGGGGATGCGACTGGCGACTTACTGGGCCACAGATGACTGTTCCCTGGGGAGAGCTGGCCTCTGACTGGCTCTCAGAGCTAGAGGTGGAGAGCTCATTAAAGGAGGTGCCGCTCTCACCCTCGCCGTCACCTTTGTGGTTCTTGCAGCAGCAGTCACATGGAGGGGACGACCAACGTGATGGACCACCTGGAGAGAGAGGGAAGCAGAGCGGGAGCCAATATTAGATGCTACTTTTTCCACCTTTTCTTTTCTTTTAAGACCAATCATTGTGAAGAGAAAAATGAGACAGTGGCACAAAGAGTAGCACAAATTACAGAGACAGGAGAAGAAAGGAAAAGTAGCAAGCGCTACAGACAGACAAAGACGAAAAGTCAGCTAATGCCAAATGGCAATCACATTAGGACAGAGTGACATGACATCGGGGACAGCTGGCTGGCCTCCAGTCATAGAAGTGAGTTGGCTGACTATGTGACAAGCTTGTATTGTTCAGAGAACTACCCTCATAGATTCACACTGTCATATGAAACAAGTGGAGGAGCTAAAGCCTTTTGAAAACAGACAATGAAGGTCCAGATTTATACGTTGTAGCCTACATGTATTCATACTAAAACAGTAGGAAGAAGAGCCAGGACAATAAACAATCATCTACACTGCAAATATGTGTGTAACCGAGGAAGAAAAAAAACAATGTGAGCAATGGTCAGTTTTAAGACAAACAAATAGCAGATTGCACAAGTTTGATTCCCCTGAAATGTGTAGTCTTATTTGCCATCATACTGTATTAATCTCTTTAACAATGAAACCAAAGGACAATGCACAGTTGTGGTTAGTTTACACAGTGAAAACCACAATTAAACCAAATTTATGTAGCACATTGGAATCAATGTGAGCCAATCTACATCAATAAAGTGCAACTTGTATGTAGACACATTGTATTCTGGTTATATTCCTATATAAAAAGGAGATTTTACAACACCAGTTTAGCTCAGCAGGTTATCAGGTGCCCATCTGCTGTGTGGCCAGAGACCAGCAGCCTGGGTTTGAGTCTGACCTGTGGCCCTTTACTGCACGTCTTCTTTACTGTCACTATCCAATAGTGACCAAAAATAATATTAACCTCCTAAGACCCAAACTCTTCCATGGCATGCGTTTTTAATTTCTCTTTGATATTTAGGCCGATTGGAACCTGATGAATGTAAAAACAAAGTTATATCAGATTTTTTTTTCCCCTAATTTTTGTTTCTAAGAAAAATGAGAGCCACATATGAGGATATTCATTTAAAATTTCAATAGAACAGTTGCAGTATAATTTTCTCATAAGTGGATATCAGGCCCTTGTAGAGCAAGATTTAGTATTTTGGTCTAAATAACCCAAAATGTAATGTCCACTAATGTGGACGCCAGGTCCTAGGAGGTTAAAAAAATAGGTTCTAAGAATCTATAAAGAAAATTCTATTTTAAGTCAAAGTTTTGGCCTGACTCTGAATGCAAGCAGTGATTTTGAAGGTGAATTTCTGTGTGTATATAGATGGCAGCAGACAACAGATTTTTGGTGATTTATGATACTTGTTTGTTCCATTATCTCCAGCGGAGTGCATGTAATGGCAAACTGCAGACAGTTATCAGACTGACACCGTTTTATTGCCATTTTATAATTGTCTTGATGCACATAGGCACTTTGAAGCCAGGAACTGACAGTGAGTACTCTCAAACCTGGTCCTTATCTTTGAAGTAACCATGTCAACCCTGACTGACAACCAACAAGCCATGTCTCATTTCCATCATGGCAACAAAATTGCAAGTTTATTGTACTCGGTCATAATAATTTTTGTTGTGGTTTGGTCTACATCCACTTTTTTCCCTTGTGTGACTGTAGCATGAAAGACCCCATATTTAGTATTTCCTCTTTCGCCTTTTTGTGCATTTGAAAGCTCCACAAAGTGACAGGGCCAAAACGTGTAACTTCTCACTTTCTGTCATTGTTTCTGTTGTACAAAGACAAATCTTCATGCACTTCATGAACTAAAATCCAAGTTGACTTTTATTATTATTATTAGTTGTCGTCGTACTAGTAGTAGTAATAGTAGTAATAGTAGTAATAGTCACCCCACATTTTCCGACTGTTGGAAAATTGTTAGTTAGCGACGCTAGCCACTTTGTATATGGCTAACATTACCTTTAGCTTTGATGGATTCCTGTGAAGAATGCTGCAAAGCTAAGGAGCTATAAGAAACTGTAGAAACTTTAAGATAATTTAACAATGAATATTGACTGGATGTGGGTTATTGTATTTTCCTGCTTTGTTTTGATTTACTCTAATTTAAGCTGATGTTGTTTGAAACACGTATTAAGAAAATGGTGGAGTTTATTAGTGTTAATGGGGTTAAGCGAGCGGTCTCACATAATTGATCGACTCCAGAATGGAAGCAGTTGCTCAATCTAACCTCTGCGAGAGCGTACAATAACCTGAAACACTCAGGAACCAGCGCAGTGCCACACCTCTCCCTGCAGGAAGCAGCCATTTATTTTTCATGCTAACCTCCTGAATAATTGAACGGGTATCTGTTGCTGATGGACTTCTCTCTGTTTAGCGAAGCGAGAGATCAAAACCCCCGAGGCTAACACACACATGCCCCCACCTCCCTTTCTGATTTTGAGCCCCACCCCTCACCTCCCCTCAGCTCCACACACAAGCTCTGACAGGACTCAGCTTTCCACGCATCTTCTGCTCATCACATTCAATAATACCATTGTTTCTTTTCATGCTGCTGAGCATTTCACTTCAAACAAGATTGTAGAAGACTATAAATAACTCTGCTTAAAATAAATGCCCCCCTGCTTTTAATTCCCTTTATACTCAGCAGCATGCTTGGCTCGTTTCTAGACAGCAGAATGGAAAACAATTGATCCATCCAAGATTTGTTCCTTCTATTGTTCCTCATAAATAGTCACAACTCATCATAACTACATTTTTGTGAGTATAGTTAGAATAGAAATTTATAGTAGAAGTTATATTTTGCTGTGTATGTTGTAAACAGCTTTGACACTGAATCCAAAGCGCACACCCAAATACACTGCTGCCTGCTGTATATTAAACAAAATTCACCTTTCAAAGTCCTTGACAGAAATGGAACACAACACTCTACCAGCAGTGAATCTCTTTAATTACCACTGGCATTTAGAGATTTAAACTTCCATGCACACATTCACAGAAAAGATAGAACATGTGATATTTCATTTCAACTTGCAGTTTTACAGGTATAAACACAATTAGAATGAGATCAGAAGAAATAAAAAAGATGCTCTCCTGGCTGCAACGTAGAGGATTTAACCCCATGATAGCCATTTCGTCCCAGCTTTTTGGACACATGAGTTAATTTATGTCACTCTGAGTGAAAGGCTCCCCCCAATCAATGAGATGCAGGCTTGTAATTGGTGACATGAAAAATGGTCTTATACCCTGGAGAATTGTCGAATCGGCTAGTAGCCAATCTGCCTGTCCACATAAATTTAACACAATGGGTACCACTGTTACAACAAATCAGTAAAACAGCGTGTCGTGTGTGTGTTTGCGTGTGTCCCTGTGGCTTTGCGTCTGTGCATTTGATATATGACATTCTGTTTAATCTTTGGCATTTGGTAATTATATCCAGGTCTATTTAGCTTTTTATCCTGTAAGTCTTGACATTGACATGCTGCTTTAATTCACAGGTACTGTGAGTAGCTATTAGCCTCGTGAACATTAAAGACTACAAGGAGGAATCTGATTTGTCACTTTGACTAGCTGAATTTCCTGTCAAAGCTTTTACTTCAGAGAGAAATTGGTTGGCCAAAAAATCTAATTGAAGACACTGCTTATAAGAACTTACAAGAACAATTCAAACCCTGGTCATCAAAATTAAGGAAATAAATTCACGGTATGTCTGTTATCGTCACGTGAGCACTGTAATTACATGTAATTACATTACTTTCTCCTTTTTTGCACTTGCTCCTAGCCATTGATTTGTATTACATATGTAAACCACATCTTTGCATCACACTATAAAAACTTGCCAGTGTAACTGATCCAAGCCCATTGTCACAACCCTGTGAGGTCAGACTTCATTCATATAGAACTGGGTTAATATTTCTGTTAATTCTCTGTTAATACCACCATCATTTATGTTTGTTTTTTTTCCAATGAGTATTGCACTGATTTCCATGTTTTCTCTGATCTGCAAATAAGAGCAATCTCATTTACCTTAAGTGTGATATCTCAGATGCCCTCAGTCCAATTTTGCATCACCATAGATGCATTTTGACAGTGTGTTTTACAGCTTCAAAATTTACACTGATGGAAGCGTTATAATTAAAGGTCAAGGTTTTAGTGTTTGAAAGGCTAGAGCTGCTACACAAACTGATTTTAATTATACTGGGTAGGAGTGATTCATCTTGTTGCTGAGTGTCCCAAAGGATGCTTGCATCCATCACTCAGGTTAAAATTTGTAATTAAAAGTTTGCTTGTTGTTTTTTGCCTGAGGTTGTCTGAACCGTAAGATAAATATCCCTGCATCATCTACCTAATGAGCAATGACCATGTAGAGTGAGTCTTTAAGCCAATGGTGTGACCTATTGTAATGTGATGACACCTGTGCTGTATAACGGGTGACCTTGCATGAGTTGTATTCAACTCTAACCTAATTTCATCGTACAAAACGGCCAGGTACAATTATTGTCACCTTAGATGAGTTAAGTTAGTGAGACGTTCTCTCCATGGTTACATGAAACTCTTCTAAATGAGCCTCGCTGTCAAAACCTAACCAGAGATTCATGTATTCCCACCTATCCCAGCTGTTACAGGACAGACCAGTCTATTTCAGGGTCAGCTGACCCAACATTCATATCTTTAGATTGTGAGAGGAAACTACACAAAAGTTGTCAAGTCCACACAGAAAGGCCAGCTGATGGATTTGTGCTATAGACCTGGAGGTGACAGTGCTACCCACATACCACCAAAGGAGAGAAGAACAGAAAACATCTTCCATTCAGTTTTTTTTTTTAATCCACATGAAAATAAAAGCAGAAAATTATACTTTTAACTTTGTTGAGGAAATAATAAAATAGGTTAGGCCTATAAATTAGACTCACTAACAGGACAGAAAGAAAACTACTGACTTTATTTGTACCAAAATAATACAAATTATCAT